CTTGCGCGGTTGGAACTCTATTATTTTTCTTTACTTACTGGATGGTGGGGATGGATGGATGGAAGGGGGGGGGGTAACAGGCGGCCACCCCTCGTCCTACATCTTGATTCTATCTAACCATACTCACCAAAAAAAGTTTGATTTTTAAATTTACTGATGAATCCAGGATTGGAGAAATCTATTGACCTGGAGAACAATCAAGCTTATCCACTGAAAGATGTTTTTGATCCGGTAAAATATAAATATTAAAATATTGTTAGAAATATAAACTTAATTAAACAAGATACTGAGCCATTGGAAGGGACTGTACAGTGTACACACGTCATATGTCCGATTCACAAGCTTTGCCTGCATAATAATGTACGGGTTGTTATCCATTATCTTCTCTTTAAAATTGATTATTTTTAATTGTGGGTTCTCTTTAAAGTGACTTGTGCATTGGAGGAAAATGTCAGAATTAAACACTTCTTAAGCTAGAAAAACGAGGACATTTTCACATTATTAATCAGATAAACGTCTAACGGATACAGAGCTGTGAATCGGTCATGGCATTTTAAACGGAAGGCTAATTTAAAATAGCAACGCCAGTCCCTTCAGAGGAGAGAGAATCGACATATCTACTTTTTAGTTTATTGAAATCATTCTTGGCAATATTTAATTTTCATATAATTAACATAAACAATAAAATAAATATTGTGAACTAGGTGACTGGAAACAGCCATATCTACTTTTCATATAATTAGCATATGTTATATATATATATATATATATATAAAATATATAATATATATAAATATTGTGAACTAGGTGACTGGAAACACCCCTCTCATGTTTGCTGCTATGGAGAATAAGATCCAAACTCTTGAACGAATGATAGAACTTGGGTAAGATAACTACAGGGTGTTCCAGGAAACATGACAGTAGCAAGATAACTACAGGTTGTCCCAGGAAACATGACAGTAGTAAGATAACTACAGGGTGTCCCACGAAACATGAAAGTAGCAAGATTAATGTTTTAAATCTAATTTTAGAAGTAAAGTTCTAGAGTTAATAATAACAAAATAGTCTTGGCATTTACAAAATGTGGTCTACCTTTTCTGTGCTTTTAATATTACCGGAGATATGAAGAATTTTGTTCAGATTTGTTTTTTTTTAATACAATTGAAATCTGAACGAAATTCTTATCTTTGGTAATATTTACAACACAAAAAAGGCAGACCCCATTTTGGAAACGCGGCTCAGATTTCACTTTTGGCGGTACAACGACGCGGTTTAAATTCTTTAAATTTGGCCTCCGACCTATCAAAAGAAACAAAATTAATTCGATTCAAATAGAGAGTTTTTCTTGTGGATAGAGTTCTTACGTTCATACAAGTAAATTATTACCTCTAATTTAGGGCTGATCCTTTAGCTGTAAATAGAGAACACTATTCAGCCCTGCATCTAGCTTCAATGTACTCTAGAGAAGAAACTATCAAGGTATTTAGTTTCTAAAGATATAAGTAAATAGGGAACACTATTCAGCCCTGCATCTGGCTTCAATGTACTCTAGAGAAGAAACTTTCAAGGTATTTAGTTTCTAAAGATATAAGTAAATAGGGAACACTATTCAGCCCTGCATCTGGCTTCAATGTACTCTAGAGAAGAAACTATCAAGGTATTTATTTACTAAAGATCTAAGTAAATAGGGAACACTATTGAGCCCTGCATCTGGCTTCTATGTACTCTAGGGAAGAAACTTTCAAGGTATTTAGTTACTAAAGATCTAAGTAAATAGGGAACATCTATTCAGCCCTGCATCTGGCTTCTATGTACTCTAGAGAAGAAACTATCAAGGTATTTAGTTACTAAAGTAAAGTAAACTAAAGTAAAGGAACTGTTGACGTAACTTCATAACTTTGACTTATCAAAATCTTTAACGGTGCAAAAATTATGGATTTTTTAAAATCTGAAAATTGATCATTTTTGATTGTGGTCTCTTAACAAGTGACTCGTAGATTTATGCAGCAGAGTCAATGAAGTGAATCGACTGAATTGATTTCTGTTCAAGAAAGAAAACAACTTTATCTTCCTCATAATTAATTAGAGAAAAGTTTAAAGAGGAAATTGTACCTAAGTTCCTTTAACCATCTAAACCATTTATAAAAATAAGGAGAACATTTTATGAGTTGAAGGGGGGGGGGCAGATAAAAGGGATAAAGAAAGAAAGTTTTCGACATTTTTATTCTAATATTTCCCCCACTTACAGTTTACTATGTTTGAACAGTATATTTTTGTTTGCGGAAGATTTCCCCTTTATTTTCTATCTTAGCCCCACTCATTATAAATATCTTCAAGCCTATATCCATTATTCTACAGAATTCTTGTTCTAATAAATAAATATATTTAGAATAGGTCAGGGTAACATGATTCTAAAATATTGGATGAGTATAAGAAATAGTCAGTCGAAGAATTTGTAAATATTACTTTTATTCAAACTGATCTAAATTTTTAACTTATTTAAACGCCAAGACCAATTTACAATGCCTTTTTTACTTCTATAAATGTAGTGAAATAAGGCTGACCCATCAATACCTGGATAGGAATCTTATCTAAATATTCCTGTTGGCGTTACTGCTGAACAGGGCTGACCTAGCTATTCCTGAATACTAACTTTATCTAAATATTCCTGTAGGTGTTACTGCTGAAAAAGACTTACCCATCTATACCTTAATACTAACCTTATCTAACTATTCCTGTAGGTTTTACTGCTGAAAAAGGCTGACCCATCTATACCTGGAGGTCCCCAAGAGCAGAACAGTGTCCACTTGGCAGCTAGTCGTCCAACCTCACAGGTAAGTACCTGGTAGTATAATACAAATAATCCATAAAAAATGGCAAAAAACTATTTATTTGACTTCAACAAATTTCTAAAACGTGTTTCTTATTTGTTGCTAAAAGAATTCGAAAAAAACTAAAGCACAATTGTTAATATATCGTTAATATATATATATATATTGTTATATTGTTAATATATCAAACAACATTTAGTTTTTCAGCTTTTTGTAGAGTTTTCGGGGTTTTAACATGATTGTAATTTGTAACTGTACAAAAATAGAGTATTCAAAAATAGAGTATCAAACTGAAACAAGGAACTCTGTTTTAATATAAAAGAGAATATTTATCAGAAATTAGAGACAAAAACAACATCCTTGACGGTAAATAAGTATACATTCAATGAGTAAGATTGGAATACAGGGGGTGATACTCTTCTTGACGGTAAATAAGTATACATTCAATGAGTAAGATTGGAAAACATGGAGTGATACTCTTCTTGACGGAGAACTTCATACTTTAGGAAAGGCGATGTTTTAGAACTAGTCTCCAAACGAAATTTTGTTTTAAAACATCGTCCCGTGTTTTAAATTGGTTTAGTTTTCTAAAGAAACGATTTTTTAAACATGGTGATATCTTTTAAACATGGTGATATCTTTTAAAACAAACTTTTTTTTAAATCGTCTAAAACGTTTAAAAGCATTTATGTTTCATTTTTCGGCCTAAAAAGTTTGTATTCTAGGCAGCAAATATACTAAGTTTGTATTCTAGGCAACAAATATACAAGTTTGCATTCAGGCAACAAATATACTAAGTTTGTATTCTAGGCAACAAATATACTAAGATTGTATTCTAGGCAACAAATATACTAAGAATACTCCTGAGTGCATCTATCCTTCAAGGCAGGAATCTCAAGCTGGTTCCAGACAAGGTAAACATCACATTTTAAAGGGACTGATCAATAATTCTGAACTTTACGTTTTTATATACAAAATAATATATTTGATACTTTAATTTGAGATAAAATGGTCAGCATATATATCAATGCAGTGTCCGTTACTGAAATGTTGATATAATGCCATGTCAATGCCTCATATGCTTCATTGGTATACCGGATAATATATTGAAATATATATAAACTAACAACATATATTACAATTTCAGTAAACGATTTTGTATTGATATATATGCTGACCACGATGTATAAAATCTAAATACCGGAGAATCATTTTCTCTAGAAGGACTTTTGAACTGTAATTCAGTTGTATTAACTATTTATTTCTCTATGAACTATCCCATAAAATTAGAATATTTTTCTAAATACTCAACTTAAAACTGATTAATACAAAATCTAGATTAAGGAAAGATTTTTTATGTCAAGCAACTAATGAACAAGTTCTGTAAATAGAGTTTCTGTAAACAATTCTAATTTAAAATATTTAATTTAATTTAATTTAAATTTTATGCTGCTCTATTCTAGGAGGGAAATATTCCTTTATTCTCTGCAATAGAAGTTGGAAATATCTCAGTAGCCAGAGAACTACTCTCCACATACACTCAGGTATACACATATGTGGTGGTGAGAAGCTACTTATGTGGTAGTTAGAAGTTAATAGTGTGGTAGTTAGAATATAATGATGTGGTATAGCTTGAAGCTTAATGGTTTGGTAGTTAAAAGTTTATGGTGTGGTAGTTAGAAGATAATGAGTGGTAGCTATAAGCTAATGATGTTGTAGTATTTTAGAATATAATTATGTGGTAGCTTGAAGGTTAATGGTTTGGTAGTTAGAAGTTAAAGATGAAGTAGTAAGAAGTTAATGATTTGTATTTAGAAGTTAATGATGTGGTAGTTAGAAGTTAATAGTGTGTTAGATAGAAGTTAATGATGTTAAAGTTAGAGCTAATGATGTTAATGTTAGAAGCTAATGATATGGTAGTTAGAAGCTAATGATGTGGTAATTAGAAGCTAATGATATGGTAGTTGGAAGATAATGATGTGGTAGCTTGAAGCTTCATTGTGGTAGTTAGAAGCTAATGATGTGGTAGTTATAATTTAATGATGTGGTAGTAAGAAACTAGTAATGTGGTACTGATTAACACGTGGGTGTCTACATTGTTGCAGTACTGTCAAACAAGTGGGTGGTTATATTGATGTGGTACTGGCTAACAAGTGGGTGTCTATATATTGATGTGGTACTGGCCAACAAGTAGGTGTCTATATATTGATGTAGTACTGGCTAACAATTGGGTGTCTATAAATTGATGTGGTACTGACCAACCAGTAGGTGTATATATATTGATGTGGTAATGGCTAACAATTAGGTGTCTATATTGGTATATTACTGGCTAACATGTGGGTGTCTATATTGATATATTACTGGCTAACACGTGGGTGTTTATATTAATTTAGTACTGGCTGACACGTGGGTGTCTATATTGATATAGTACTGGCTAATATTGATGTGGCACTGGCTAACAATTGGGTGTTTTATATTGATGTGATACTTGCTTACACGTGGGACGTGGGTGTCTATATCGATGTGGTACTTGCTAAAACGTGTGGTAGAGGTTAGATATTACGAAGTACCACATCATCCTGAAAACCTGAACTGCGCATATATGATACGTTTGATACATTTGATTACATTTTGATTACATTTTTACTTGGCTAAACATTGAGCAGAGGGAAACATAGAAATGTAAACTGTTGATATCATATCAAACAATCTTCGGGATTTATTATTCAAACTCAGCTTTCATCTGCGGTTAAAAATAGGCATTGCAATTTTTCAGTAAAAATATTTAAATCACAGAAAGAAACACGAGGAACCAGATTAAATAAATACCAAGACATAGTTGAACCTATAGGAGATTAAATTAAACCATATAGTTAGTTGAACCTATAGGAGATTAAATTAAACAATATAGTTGAACCTATAGGAGATTAAATTAAACCATATAGTTGAACCTATAGGAGATTAAATTAAACCATATCTCATATGTGCCAGGTCAAACTAAAGAGAAGAGGTTCAACTAGAGCTTTACATAATTCAACTTTGTCTCGCTATTTATTAATACCGGTGTCAAAAATTCTTTGATAAAAATAAAATTAAAAAGCTATGATAAACTGAAAACTTTAGTAAAAGATATGTATAAATAATTGATAAATGATAAATATCTAACTGAAAATTGTCCAAAACACAAATTTGGAATGATTTCTGCTCCGAAGGTTAACTTACATAGGCCGATCTAGAGCAGTACCCTTTAAGCTTGATTCTGAGCAAAAATTTCATTCTCTCTAAAAAATTTTCTTTATAAAAGCGAATTTAGAGGAGAGAAGGAAACTTGATATTTGTTAGAATGAAAAACGACGATATTTTCCTCACGGTTTCCTAAATAAAGGTTTTGAAAGTACCTCTGTGAACGGACATGTCACTTTTTTGATAAACCGTCAGTTGAAATCATATCTACAGTCTTTTTAGAAAGATTGACTACATACAAGACAATCTTTTTGTGTTTTCTGGAAAATATGTTTTAAAGTTTTTGAAATGTATTTTAATGTATCAGGAGCAATTGAAAACTCCTAAAGGGGATTCCCTGGACTATGCTGTTCACCTGGCAGCCCGTAAGGGAGACAATGATCTCATTAAAACCTTTATAGAGATGGGAGCAGAAGTGGATATTCAGAATGTAAGTATTTTTTAAGTAGCTTGGTTTGTATTTGTAATTATAAAGTTATAATTTAATAACAATAATAATATATATTTTGAAAAAAAGTACAGCATTAGATCTAGATACATCCTAATAAAATTTTATCTCATGTTTTATGTTTGCTATTTACCATCGTCGAGATTTAGCCGAATTTTTTTCGGGTTATTGTTGGAAAAACCAACTAAAAACGATCTTTTGGTTCGTTTTTGCATGTTCTTTTGCAATATTTGCTCTCAGCTGGTCAAAATTTGGCAAAGTGCACAGGGTGTCTCAAAAAAAATCTTCATTAGGGGTATTAGTAACTGAGGAAACAATTTTCGTTCAATTTTTACGATCAAGTTGTCATTCAAAAGCTCTATATTTCAGTTATTTCATGGTGTGAAATTTTTCCTTCTAGGCCTCATACTTTTTTTGTTACAACCAATTATTTCAGCGTAAGTCGAAAATCGATTTCTCGGATTTTTCCATTTTTTGATTTTTCACGTCTCATTTTCATTCGTTCATAAAGTATGAAAAAAATTAAAGATTTTCGAAATTTATTTTTAAAATCATAAGCTGTTGGTCTTAGGTTTCATTTTTAACTAAAATTTTGGATCAGCGATTATTACTTTTGAAGGTAGAGCAATCTAAAAAAAATATATGCATTGAAAAAAAACGAAATGAGAGCTACGGGTACCTTCGTACGAACCTTGCCCAGACCACAAAAATAGTTTTTTTTTAAATTTTCTTTTTGAAATCAGTTGGTACAATCCACAGCTCGCTATTTCAATCAAATTTTGTTATCTAAACCACCAGGGTACAAAAATAGAACTTTTTTTGTGAATCTGAAATTACAAAAAAAACTTTTAAAAAGTCATCACTTTAATTAATAACATTTTTACTTTAGAAATGATGTTCACGCTTTCATTTGTTATTAGTCCATTTTTATGATAGGTTCAAGGTATCAGGTAGTTAAATAGGCCAAAAATGTTGTAAGTTTTTTTCAGGGGCCTTTTAAGGGACTGTTCACGCAAAAAAAGAACACATTCTCAAATGTAAACTTATGTCTTAGAGAGCACAAGCCGTCCAAGGTATCGTTTTATAGGTAAAAGCATATGCATGTTTCAACAATGATATTGGTTTTTGAAAAATTTACCACCGAGGTCATTATCCGCAAATTTGATTTCTAAGGGGTCAAATTATATTAATAGCACACAAACATCGTCATGGGTCTCTAAACAGGGGTAAACGCCCATGGTAAATCCATTTTAAATCTTTTTTTTCGAAAATTTGACTCCCAAGGTCACAACTGACAATTTTGACCTCCAAGTAGTCATTTTGGAGGCCATATTATATCACTGGAGCACTCATACCGTCATGGGTACCGAAATAGGGGCAAATCCACATGGTGAATCCATTCTTACTATTCTTATGTCATTAACATTTCCGTCGACGGCACTTTTGACCTTTTTGACCTCCAAGTGGTCATTTTGGAGGTCATATTATGTCAATGGAGCACTCATACCGTAGTGGCGAATCATTTCTTACAATTTTTTGTCTATGCATGCTACAGAAAATCCGCCTAATTTAGAGTCAAAAATTCCCAATTTTTGGTCGCCTACTATAGGTGTTCCCTGGGCTTTTCTTAGAGTTTAGATTTAGAATAGTAGACGTGGTATCAAACTTTTTGACAATGTCTCGGACAGCTTGCTTAGATGGAACTCTGGATTGAGGGAATTTGACCGTAAAATCTCTTCGAATATTAAGAAATCTAGTATTCCTTCTCCCGGTTGAATGAACGGTGTAAAGTTTATAGATAAACGATCTCTCACTTGGAGAGAACTGTGGTCGGGGCACCATTTCAGATTAATCAAAAAAAATTGGTAATTTTTTACTCTAAATTCGGCGGATTTTCTTTAGCATGCATTGACAAAAAATTGTAAGAAACGATTCGCCACTACGGTATGAGTGCTCCATTGACATAATATGACCTCCAAAATGACCACTTGGAGGTCAAAAAGGTGAAAAGTGCCGTCGACGGAAATGTTAATGATATAAGAATAGTAAGAATGGATTCACCATGTGGATTTGCCCCTATTTCGGTACTCATGACAGTATGAGTGCTCCATTGATATAATATGGCCTCCAAAATGACCACTTGGAGGTCAAAATGGGCAGTTGTGACCTCGGGAGTCAAATTTTCGAAAAAAAAGATTTAAAATGGATTTACCATGGGCGTTTACCCCTGTTTAGAGACCCATGACGATGTTTGTGTGCTATTAATATAATTTGACCCCTTAGAAATCAAATTTGCGGATAATGAACTCGGTGGTAAATTTTTTCAAAAAACAATATCATTGTTGAACCATGCATATGCTTTTACCTATAAAACGATACCTTGGACGGCTTGTGCTCTCTAAGACATAAGTTAACATTTGAGAATGTGTTCTTTTTTTGCGTGAACAGTCCCTTAGAAGGCCCCTGAAAAAAACTTACAACATTTTTGGCCTATTTAACTACCTAATACCTTGAACCTATCAAATAAATGGACTAATAACAAATGAAAGCGTGAACATCATTTCTAAAGTAAAAATATTATTAATTAAAGTGATGACTTTTTAAAAGTTTTTTTTTTGTAATTTCAGATTCACAAAAAAAGTTCTATTTTTGTACCCTGGTGGGTTAGATAACAAAATTTGATTGAAATAGCGAGCTGTGGATTGTACCAACTGATTTCAAAAAGAAAATTTTAAAAAAATTATTTTTGTGGTCTGGGCAAGGTTCGTACGGAGGTTCCCGTAGCTCTCTTTTTTTTTTTTTCAATGCAAATATTTTTTTTAGATTGCTCTACCTTCACAAGTAATAATCGCTGATCCAACATTTTAGTTAAAAAAGAAACCTAAGACTAACAGCTTATGATTTAAAAAAAATTTTTGAAAATCTTCAAATTTTTCCATACTTTATGAACGAATGAAAATGAGACGTGAAAAGTCGAAAAATTCAAAAATCTGGGAAATCGATTTTCGACTTACGCTTAAATAATTGGTTATAACAAAAAAGTATAAGGCCTAGAAAGAAAAATTTCACATCATGAAATAACTGAAATATAGAGCTTTCGAATGACATCTTGATCGTAAAAATTGAACGAAAATTGTTTCCTCAGTTCCTAAATTGTCCCATCACTATGTGCAATGTGCATGGTACTTTCGAGACTAAACCAACAAATTCTAAAGATCAAAATATGGCTGGAAATATTCTAATACAGACAGGCTTGCACTTCGTTGTAATAATTGTTACGTACAAAACTTTCAACTTTTACGTATTTCAATAAAGTTCTATTGGCAATGGGATAGACAAATTTTACAGGAGTTACTGTTAAGAAATGTTGGAAGTTGACAGTATTTGTTTGGTACCCTTTTAACCGGCCATCAAAACTAAGCAAAAACAAACCAAGATATGACCCATCTCTGAACAAAAACAAACCAAGATGTGACCCATCTCTAAACAAAAACAAACCAAGATATGTCCCATCTCTAAACAAAAACAAACCAAGATATGTCCCATCTCTACACACACAATCTAATATGATATGGGATACCCAGTATGTACTCTGTGTCCCAACTACAAGTATACTAATATGCATCGCTTTGAGGTCCATTTTTAAACATTCAAAGTATTTAGACTTTTAAGAAGCTTCCTAAAAAGCATAGATATTGGCCCTGTTGCCAAATGATATTCTTGATAAATTTGCTTTTATTATATTAAGCATTTTATTTCTCTGACCTAATATTATTAACCATACTATTTTTCAAAACTATTTGTAAAATCACAAGATTTTGTGCAAATTAATAATTACCAAGCATAAAATAATAAAACAAGACATAAATCTCAGATAGTTGGATGCACTTTTAAAGCCAAAGTACTTGAATATTTCTAAACAGATCTTTTAACGATCATCCCCAGCTACAAGTTGACCTGCCTAGGCTGAAGGGCAAACCTGTCTGCATGTGGCCTGCAGTAAAGGAGATGAGAATATTATTAGAACCTTATATCTCAGCAGGGCTAACCCTTCAGTCGTAGATAAAGAAGATAGAACAGCTATGCATCTAGCAGCAGAGAAGGGACATACTTCTACAGTAGAGTTCCTTGCAGGTTAGAAATATTAAGAGTAAGGGGGAGCGGGGGGGGGTATTTGGTATTTTTACCCTCATTCTTGACCTTATTTATTCACAACCACCAGAGTATGCATTATGCAATGCATTTATAACTCTGTCATAAGATTAAATGCTAAATTTCCTCTTTTTTGTTTTTTTTTCTCACTCAAATTCCACACTTTTCACCGCCAAACAGCTTTAAATTAGGATCACTCTCTGAAACTTCAGGGTTAACCACAAAAGATGAGACTTTTTAAATGACATCCTAGAACTCTTTGAATAGAACAATTTGAGGGTTGCGAAGTATTTGGGTTTCCTAAGTCTTTTAATGTGATAGATAGTGATTCAGGGAGGAAATGGAAAGTATCAGGGAGGAAATGGAAAGTATCAGGAAGGAAATGGAAAGTATCAGGGAGGAAATGGAAAGTATCAGGAAGAAATGGAGTGTGAGTAAAAGTATCATCCTTTGTGGGTTTCCCTATGTCAGACGCATGTTTTAGAAAAATTCAACATAGTTACACATTTCAATTATTTGTACTATAAACGTTTAGTCTTAATCAATTAGATTTCAGGTATGATCCCATTGGTTTTTAAAAATAAAATAAAATATTTTAAGATAAGTTCCGTGCTTCTGTGTTTGATAGAACCAAGGATGGAAGTACTCTCATGCATATTGCAGCTTTGAACGGGCATCCAGAAACTGCAATGGTAACCCTACAACTACCTAGAAAAACATAATAATTGCATTTCAAAATACATCTAAAATCAAACAGAACCCTGAAAGTTTTGACAAATTAACAATGACTCGCCTTTCCACAGAATTAATCATTTTCTAAGAAAAATCCAAAACAAACAAAACTAAAGATTGATGGCGCATTTTCCCAATTATTGCAAACAAATTACTTATTTTTAGAAATTATATAATTAAAGGGTAGAATCAAGCAACATTAATCTTTAACATTATTCCCTTTATTATTATGTACTTTCTGAATTTTATCATAATCAATAATGCATTAGAAAATGTCAGCCTTGTTTTTAATTTGGTTTGGAAAAGGCGAGTATAGTAAAACAAAAGAAGATGGCTGTTTTTTAAAATTTTCTATGACATACAGTGATAACCAGAGAAATCTTAAATACAAAGAGGACTCAAGTTAGGACTTAAACTAGTTCAATGATTATTAGACATTTTACAGTGTAAATTGACCCATTTTGCTTAAATTGTGCTTTTCTAGGTTACTAGTAAAGATATTTGCTTTGTAACAACATCAAAACGCTTAAGTATTGCTATAATGTCGTCTTTCTATTCTATTGTTTTCTGGTTATCACTGTATCAGAATAGGTAAAAAATAATATTGAAAAAGAAGTTTGTTTACAATGGTTCAAATTCTTGGGCAGGGTTTGTGCAATCACATAATAACTATCTGATGTTTGTTTACAATAAAACTAGTTACTGGGTTTTTTCTTCTGAAAGATCACAATCCCCCTCTTCTTTGATGTTTGATTCCTTGGGAATTTGTGTCAGGCAAGAATAAATAGGATAGGGGTTTACTAACAACTTTAGAGACTTCACAATCACACTATTTAGTTCATGTTAGTTTAATTCAATCCTTGATTTTAGTTCAGTAACAGGGAATATCATCACTCTTGTACACTCTTTAGTATTGTCTATAAATACATCTAGAGTAGCAGGGGAATCTATTTAAATTTCTTTTCTCTAATCCAACAAAATTTGTGTGATCAGAAAAAAGAAAATTTAAACTATCTAGTTCCTGAGAAGTCCAAACACACCAAACCTATCCCCCAGTCCCAACCTCATCCTCACATTGATATTTTGATAGGTTCTGTTCAAGAAAGGAGTCCCCCTGCTGATGCCCAACAAGAGTGGAGCTCGAGGGATTCATACTGCAGCAGCCAAGGAACAATTCAGAAATATCTTACAATTGACAATTTCAACTTTAAGACCGAAATGTCAGATAAATCTAGCTTATCAAAGTACTGAGAAGTGGTGTCCGTATGTTTTTTCTAATCTGGTTTGGTTCAACCTTCCACCAACTATATCATGGCTATAACATGGCTATTATAATTTACATATCCTACAATACTAATTTATTAGTATAATATACTCGACAATATGATAAGACCAAACAGGTCACAATTGTAGTGGTTGACCCACAGCTAGGACGGGCGCCAGATTCTTGGGGTTGGGTCAAAGGGCAAGGATTCAGAAAAGGGATTGTGGAAGAAATGATTGGAAATATGTTCTTGTTGTAAATTTTACTTTGATTGTTTGTACCAACTGCCAAACAACAAATTTGTGCGTAATGGTTATTGTTTACCCATTTAAAATACAGTTTGGTGTAGCTGGTTTGTTTACCAATACTTAATGCATTATGTGACTCATTAATCATTTTTTATTCCATCCATTGGTTGAACCACTCCACTAGTCTGTACTTTTGTTTAGTCACTTTTATATAAACAATAAAACACATAAGTCGCATCTTGAGTATTAAGAACCTTAACTTACATTCTGTTGGAGTAATGTAAACATATTAAGAGTGATGTAAGCACAAAAGCAAAAGTTTGGTTGCCAAATTTTTTTTTCTCTTCAATAGAATAAAGGAGTTTAGAAACATTATTTTGAACAAAAACGAACTTAAATTTAGTTTAATCTTAATAAATTAGATATTTAATGAAATGAACTGAAGGGTCACGTTGCTGTTGTTAATTCTTTGATAGCAAAGGGAGAAAGTGTGGATGCGGCAACAAACGTAAGTTACCATAATAATCTAAAAATTCATACAAATTATGCATTAACAAGACTATCGGCCAAATTGAAAGTGTATCCTTGGTTTGAATTTTCTAAATCATTTAAACTTTTTGTTCTTAGTAGTCCTAAACACAAAAGAATTTAAGCTGTTCGATTCTTAGTTTAGTTTTGGAGAAGTAATTTAAACAATCTGAAAAAGATTTCGCATATTTAGTTTACAATGAACATTATCTTATTTGTTAAGCATAGATATTAAAAGCAAAAAATGGGTATACAGGCTAGGGTTATTAGCCTTTTGCTTGATTTGTAAGACTGAGGGTTTAAATATTTTTTTGTTGAACTAAATTGGAAAAAGAGGAAAGAAAAGAAAGTTTAAACTTATAAACTTTGATGAAGTTTATTTCTGATGAAATATTAAATGTTTGGTTGAGGTATGTTGGAAGTAGTTTTAAACTTTAATGCTGATAAATTGAAATGAAGCGGAATGCACTTGTTAATTAATTAAAACAATAAAAGTTTTTTTTTCTAATGGCAGAAACTTAGAAAACTTAATGGCCAGCAGCAAAGCCAGTTAAATAATCACTTTTGAACTTTGTTTTTGTTTAGGATAACTACACAGCACTGCATCTAGCAGTAGAAGCAGGAAAATCAGCTGTTGTTGAAGCTCTTCTTGGACACGGAGCTCAGGTTAGTTGAGGTTCTTCTAGGACAAGGAGCCTAGGTTAGTTGAAGCACTTCTAGGACAAGGAGCCTAGGTTAGTTGAAGCACTTCTAGGACAAGGAGCCTAGGTTAGTTGAAGCACTTCTAGGACAAGGAGCCCAGGTTAGATGAAGCACTTCTAGGACAAGGAGCCTAGGTTAGTTGAAGCACTTCTAGGACATGGAGCTCAGGTTAGATGAAGCACTTCCAGGACAAGGAGCCTAGGTTAGTTGAAGCCCTTCCAGGACAAGGAGCCAAGGTTTTTTGAAGCACTTCTAGGACAAGGAGCCCAGGTTATTTGAAGCACTTCTAGGACAAGGAGCCCAGGTTAGTTGAATCACTTCTAGGACACAGAGTCCAAGTTAGTTGATGCTCTCCTATTGATATTATATCAATGTTAAAGTAATGCTTATATCTTATATTATTATTATTATTAACCATGTATTGTGTTAAGGTGCATATAAAGGGAGGCAAGATAGGAGAAGCTCCTCTTCATATTGCTGCAAGGATAGAAGAGAAGAGAGGGGAGCAATGCAGCAGGTACAATACATAATTCATTCTGTTGCGTTTTGATGGGCGTGCAGTCAGTCACTGAAATCTTATCTAGGGCGTCCCAAAAAAATGGCAATGCTTTTACACATTTTATTTTACCATATTACTCCTGGTTTATCTAACAATGTAATTAATTCAGCCTGATAAAAAAATAGTAATTGATGTTAAAAGGTATCTAGGTCTTTTCCTAGTCCCGGTGTAATGAACTGATAGAATAAGTCTCCTAAGTACATATATTCAGAATGCTGTTGAAGTCAGGAGCTGATTGCAATCTACCAATGGAGGATGGTAGAACACCTCTTCATATAGCAGCTGAAACAGGTAAAATACTCCTTTATATAGCAGCTGAAACAGGTAGAACACCTCTTCATATAGCAGCTGAAACAGGTAGAATACTCCTTCATAAAGCAGCTGAAACAGGTAGAACACCTCTTCATATAGCAGCTGAAACAGGTAGAACACTCCTTCTTATTTCAGCTGAAACAGTTGGAACACCTCTTCATATAGCAGCTGAAAGAGGTAGAAAACTCCTTCGTATAACAGCTGAAATAGGTAGAACACTCTTTCATATAGCAGCTGAAACAGGTAGAACAATCCTACATATAACAGCTGAAATAGGTAGAACACCTCTTCATATAGCAGCTGAAACAGGTAGAATACCTCTTCATATGACAGCTGAAACAGGTAGAACACCTCTTCATATAGCAGCTGAAACAGGTAGAACACCTCATCATACAAGAGCAGAAATAGGTAGAATACCTCTTCATATAACAGCTGAAACCGATAGAACACCTCTTAATACAGCAGCTAAACAGGTAGAATACCTCTTCATATGACAGCTGAAACAGGTAGAACACCTCTTCATATAGCAGCTGAAACAGTTAGAATACCTCTTCATATAGCAGTTGAAATAGGTAGAATACCTCTTCATATAGCAGCTGAAACAGGTAGAACACCTCATCATACAAGAGCAGAAATAGGTAGAATACCTCTTCGTATAACAGCTGAAACCGATAGAACACCACTTCATATAATAGCAGCAGAAACAGGTAGAACACCCCTTCATGTAGCAGTAGAAACAGATAGAACATCCCTTCACATAGCAGCAGAAACAGATAGAACACCCCTTCATAAAACAGTAGAAACAGATAGAACATCACTTCACATAGCAGTAGAAACAGATAGAACACCTCTTCATATGGCAGCAAAAAAAGATAACATACCCATTCATTTAGCAGTAGAAACAGATAGAACATCCCTTCACATAGCAGTAGAAACAGATAGAACAACTAGATTTTAAATTCGGTGATGGTGATGGACCATGGAGTAAATAAAGTAAATGTTAGTTTCACATTTTATTGAAAATATATTTCAGTCTAGGCTTAACCTTGTCAGTTCTAAGGATATAATAACCATCAAAATCGATAATAAGAATGTTAAAAAACCACAAGAAAATAAGCAAACAAAAAAGATTATTTAAAAAAATTCGCTGTCAAATTGACAAAAGGGAAACGAACTCAGATTATGTGATGGAAAAAGATAATTTGCAAATATTAACTTTTTAAAAAATGTTTAAGAATATTATTATTCCTTGAGATTGTTTCTGTCATGAAGATTAAAAACAATCTGTTTAAATGTATGAGTGGTGGTGGGTCTCGATCTAATTAACAAACTTTTATAAAAAGCTTTAAATCTAAAAACTTGGTGTTTTGTGAATCAACCTAGCACTCCAATATCAGCAGTTATAGAGCAAACATTTTCAGTGACATCAACTGTAATGTAAATAATTTGAATATCAACGTATAAAGTATATACAAATGCATTAATATCAACAACTGTAAATCAACTAAGACAGCAATAATATAACTGAATTAAAGAACATGGTGTAGCTTCATTATCATAAGAAAAGAATTATTGTTATATAATAAAATAATATTATCTAGAACTATCATCATCTTATAAGTTTGAAATTTTACATTATAGTATTTGCAGTTACAGTACATGAGCAACATTTGGTAAAGCATTTAAATGTATTAAGTAAGAACATCAATAGCAGAACTGAAATTGACAGTATGTATAGTACGAGTATGTATCCATTTATAAATTTGGCTTGTCTGTTTGGGTGTTTGTTTGTTTGTTTCCAATAAACGTCAAAACGGCTGAACCGATCGGGCCCAAATTTTTTGTGGGACATCACGTGACCACAGAGAAGGTTTATGGATGATAAAAATTAAAAAAAATGTGTTTTAAAGGTTTTTAATTTTTAAAAAAGTTTTAATTCTTGAAAATCCGCGAATTTTTTTTAAAAATCCGCAAAATTTTTTCTTCTTTGTTTTAAAACGTAAACAAAAAGAACATGTTCACAATTTAAATAGAAGATGGGCGCGAAGCGCCCTAAAAGCCTAGTATTGCATATTGCCACAACAAACCATTTCTAAACTTTTACTTTGAATTCAGGCAGTTTGGGAGTTATACAAATGTTGCTTGAAAGTGAGGCAGATATTTTAATTCAGGACAAGGTACATTTTTAAAAATAAATTGTTCAATTTGAAAATATTTCTCCCAGCTTAACTATACCTTTAAAAATGTTATCCTTAGCAATGTCTTAATTTATTACATCAACAATTTTACTTTCAATTAGAGAATTATTCATTTTTAAAGAATTTAATCGGTACGTAAGATAAAAGGGTTAAACTACTAAAACTAGTCCTTAAAAAATTATAGAAAGGTCCTTGCTCCAGAGTAGTGTGTAATGTATATACCAGCTGTTTTCTAAATGTTTATACTAGTGAAGAAGAAACCCCAACTTCAATGCTTAAACATAAATGTTTTCAAATGAATCCTTTGATATTCTAGGGAAAATAATTCCCTTGATCTCACAAAAAAACTGAAATATACAAAAAATTTGTTTAAACTTTTTGTATAAAATATAACAAATGTGAATTAAAACTGATGTTTTTTTCTGAATTGTGTTGGTTTTGAGGGAGGGAGTTTTTCAAGAAAAAAGATATACCACTGAACATAATGATTTAAAACATAAATTTTTTAGGATGGAGAAACAGCACTTCACAAGGCCTGTAAACGTTGCAATAGTCAAGTAGTTGAGTTGTTAGTTAATTTCACTGATAATCAGCCAACTATAGATACAAGGGACTACATCAACTCTGTCAATTTCAAGGTATAAACTTTTTATGTCATCCCCCTGTAATACATCAAAATCTCAAATTCAAGTTCTTAGATTTTTTTCAAGTTGGTGTGTTACTGTTTATAATGGGTAGTGTGCAGCTTGCTTATCAATATTTTCTTTGAGAAGAAATATGAATAATTGACATGTTTGTACAGGGTGAGACTGGTCTACACTACATATCTCTTCTAACACCCTTTCCTGATGGAGATCCCAGAAAGGTAGGATTAAAACATATTATATGATATATCAAGATGGCTTTGGTGCCATGGGTTACTTAAAACAAGATGGGTGTGGTGCCATGGGTTACTTAAAACAAGATGGATGTGGTGCCTTTGGTTACTTAATAACAAGATCTCTGTGGTGCCATGTGTTACTTAATAACAAGATGGCTATGGTGCCATGTTCTTCTTAAAACAAGATGACCATGTTGTTGCCAGTAATCCACAAGATGGCTAGTGAACAAAGGGGTGCCATAGTAACTGTAAAACAAAGGGTTAACATTAAACAAAATTACAATTTTCTTATAGTGCCATTTCTAATTTGCGATTAAGATCAAATTGAGCTTCTGTATCAATCAAGCAAACTATAATTTCCTCTGATTGTAGGGAGCAGATCAGAGAATAACCGAAATCCTTATGAACAAAAAAGCTGATTCTATGATCCAGAACAGTTCCCACAGAGAGAATGCTTTCCATTACTGCGGACAGAGTGGAAACTCAGAGGTGATTTTTCCTATATATACCTAAATATGTGCATTTAAGTTGTATTTATTATGTTTGTATATATGTGTGTGTATATATATACATATAACCATTTTTATTCTCAATTTTTTTCAGGTTGTGAGTGAAATAATAAAGCACCTTCACGCTGGTCAAATTCAACTAGGGGTCAACAAGCAGTCAGGGTTAGTAAATAAATAGACTAGGGGTCAACAAAAAGTCAGGGTTAGTAAATAAATTCAACTAGGGGTCAACAAGGAGTCAGGTTTGGTAAATAAATTAGACTAGGGGTCACCAAAAAGTTAGGGTTAGTAAATAAATTTAACTAGGGGTCAACAAACTGTTCGGATTAGTAAAAAAACTTAACTTGGGGTCACCAAACAGTCAGGGTTAGTGAATAAATTTAACTATGGGTCAGCAAACAGTTCGGCTTAGTAAATAAACTTAACTTGGGTCAACAAGCAGTAAGGGTTAGTAAATATATAGACTAGGGATCAACAAACAGTCAGGGTTAGTAAATAAATTTAACTAGGGGTCAACAAACATTCAGGGTTAGTAAATAAATTTAGCTAGGGGTCATTAAGCAGTTAGGGTTAGCAAATAAATTCAATAGGGGTCATCAAACAGTCAGGTTTAGCAATTATTCACCTACCTACCTACCTCGCTATCTCCCCACATCCTTACCATACCTTCTTTCTCTCCACCTACCTTCCTACTTCCTAGCCTCCTCACCTACCTACCTGCCCCCCTATCTAGATCTCCTCACCTCCGTACCTACCTCACTACATACCTCCCGATCTCCCCACCTCCCTTCCTATCTCCAGATCTCCCCACTTATCTATCTTCCTCCTAACCTTTTTACCCACCTACCTACCTACCTACATCTTAACCTATCTCCCTAACTACCTACCTCCTAACCTATCTACCCACCTAAATATCTACATCTTAACCTATCCCTCCACCTACCTACCTTCCTCACTATCTAACTACCTACATACCCTCCTACCTCCCCAACTCCCTACCTCCCCACCTACCTACCTTCCTCCCAATCTAACTACCTACATACCCTCCTACCTCCCCACCTACCTACCTCCCTACCTCCCTACC